TGAGAATTACTGATTTGGTGTAAGAGATGGGCTCTCGCCATTGAAATGAAACGTGAAGGCTGTTACAATAACAGGGGAAGCTGTGAAGAGATTCCAGAACGATCCTCCATTGTTCAACTCTGGAAATAGTCTTGGATTCTTCGTTTGTCCTTTCACCAGCGCTGAAATTGCCAGCACCGAGCTTATGACGACAAATAGCACCGCAAGAAGAAACGACGCCGCAGAGCTATACGCCAGTCTTTCTACATAACCAAACATTTTACAGAAAATCAACAACAATCCAACAGATATACATAGTTTCTGGGTTTCTGAGAACACAGAAACTTACCCACACGTCTGCACAAGACCAATGGAAGCAAGACGAATCCATAGACGAACAACAAAGCGAAGATTCTCGTGTTCCACCACTGAGAACCAAACCATTCTTGAAGAACACCATAATGTTCATTTTCATTACCCGAAAGCACATCTCCTGAGAGAAAGAAAAGACAAATCCAAACTGAGCAATCTGTTCTTACTCCAACCGGTAACAGAGACCTCAACACTCGATTCGATTACTGTACCTATGATAATAGAGAATATAACCATACAACCAAAAGTAGCAACCATCGTAGCAATCTGTACAGCGACGGATCCTGTTTTCCCAAACGACTCTTTCATAACTCCGGCGTAAGTAGTCGATTCTCCGGCGAGAGTCGATTTCATCAGAAACCCAACAGAAATTGTAGAAAGCCAAGCTATGATCGTGATTATCAACAGCGCCGGGATTACTCCGAGAACCTTAAACGCCGCCGGCATCGACATTATCCCAGCTCCGATTATGCTCGTCGACACGTTGAAAACGACGCCGGAGGTTGATGATGATCCATGCTTCTCAGACGAGGACTGATCTTTCTCCGGTAAGAGAGGAGTTTTGATCTGAGGAGACATTCTTCTTCCGCCGCCGGAGAAACTTGAATATTTTTTTTTTGGCCGGCGGGAAGAAGAATTATTGTTTTTTGGTTGTTAGGAAACGGCTTCATATAGCCACGCGGTTAAATTATGAAAGTACGATAATACCCTTTGAAGCTGGACGTGTTTGCTTTCATTGTTTAGGGTAAAATCGGGATTATGGTTATTTGATTATTGGAGAGACCTGACAGGCTGGTGAAAATCATATAAGTGATATCACAAAATGATCTTTCGTCACGTACTTAAAAACCTATAAACATTACAAAATAAAATCAGAATTATTTTATTTTATTTTGGTTCGAAGTAGGATATTACACCTAATTTGTTTCTTTTTTCTATCGAATTAACCCAAAAACACTTAAGAAATCTACAAAAATTGTGGGTCCAATCAAATGTCCACTTGGGACTTATTCAGGAAGAATGAATCATTCATTTTCGTTACAAAAGAGAGTGTATCTGGACGGATGAGTGGCCTAAGTGAATATCATTGATTCTCATGTCATATTATATACTACATTTTTTATTGAGTAAAAGCTCCTAAAATTCATTTTTTAAAAGTTCCGTGGAATTATTAATGGAACTCACTACAATCATAGGCGGCCCAAATATGGCTAACGTTAACTTAAGAGCAGACATTTTGAGACTTTTCATCATGAAAACGAAAGGGAAAAAATTAAAGATTTGAAGAGGTGATAAATTGAGCAAAAGAAGAATAATTGAATCACTTGTAGTATTTCTGTTTATGATATGAATCGATCTCTCACGAATAATATCAACTTAGTTAGTTAACATGATTAGATTTTTTTCTTCTAAATATGGTTTTTGTAAGTCAACTTTTTTTTTGTTTTGTATCTGGTTCATTAAGTTGAAATTATTCAAAAACGTTCCACATATTTCCCAACTTAACTTAACGTTTCTGTATATTTCCAGTTTAATGAGCCAAATACAAGTTTTATATATGTACAAAATCTAAAAAAACTGTTAATTATCTTTAAGCTGACAACATTATGAGCCATATTTAGAAACAAACTCGATAATAACCAACTAATTTGACACCTTACAAATTTTGGAAACATTACAAGAAGAAAGACATATATATTTACAGAGAGTCGTGCCTAGAGATTTTAATGCCATAAGCAAAATAAAAATTACATTTTAGTATTTAAATATTTATAATTAGTAAAACACAAAATTTTATGAAAATTTGTCTATAAATGAATGATAC